CCCGGCAGCGCAGCGGAGGCAGCAACGCCAGGAGGCTCAGACGACGCCTCGAATTCCTGCCTCTAACCCTCAACCACCCACATCGGCTCAGCAACCGCCGGCGAACGCGCAACCGCCGCTCCGGACGACACGAGTACCCACCTCGGCACAACCCGCTCAGGGATTCAATACTGCCGCCCCTCCACCGCAGACCACGGCCCCTCCGGCCGCGCCCCCAGCTGCTGACCCAACCGCCGGTATGGGGGCGAGCCGGATCAAGAACTCTTTTCCGCACGCTTTCGAACGATGGGAAGCTCTGTCAGCGCATTGGGAGGGCATGACAAGCTTCTGGATCCGCAAGCTTCAAGAAAACACGGATGAGTTGGATCGGAATCCGATATCCTCGCAGCTCTCACGGCAGGTTAGTGACTTGTCGGCGGCTGGTGCCAATCTTTTCCACGCCGTCGTTGAGCTCCAGCGTCTCCGAGCGAGCTCAGAACGGAAATTCCAACGATGGTTCTTTGAAACCCGTGCGGAGCTGGAACGGAACCAAGAGGTCAACGCCATGATGGAGGCGCAGTTGGAAGAGGAACGCCAACGACGAGCGGAAGCCGCTCGGGAGGCAGCCTACCTTGAGCGCGAGAACCAGAAGCTCCAGAAGCTTCACACGGAGCAGCGCAAGGAGCTGCTGATCTCCAAGGAAGAAGCGCGTCGAGCCTGGGAGGAACTAGGTAGAAGGGAGCAAGAAGAGCGGGACCGCACCATATCCCTCCAGCAGGGTCTACCGACCATCGTTGGAGGAGTGCAAGTGGTGCCTATGGCCCAGGGCGTCCCTAGCCGACATACCAGCACTCGGGACCAGCGCTCGCATGGTCAAGCCGACACATCAGAGTACATTGCTGCGCAACAAGGGCACTACTCGGAGTACAGCCAGCCACCGAGCCAACACACGACAGCCGGAGGTCCGAGTGAAGGTCACTACCAGCCCGAGACGACCGGCCACGAAACGGGTAGCTATGGAGCCGGCTCGGAGGCGGGATACAGCGAAGGTGAGTACGTGATTGACGCGCATGGCAACTTTGTCCGCGATGCACACGGCAACCGTATCCCTTTCCGCAGCCCCAACTCCCCCCCAGGCGGAGTCCGGGGTGCTGACGGCAGCGCAGAGGACTATGAGACGCCCGTCTCGCAGCCGCCGACCACGAGCTATCCGCCTTCGAGCTCGCAGTGGGCCGGCAACTATGCTGGCAACCCTGGCAACACTGGCAACCCTGAGTACTCGGGACAAGGCTACGCCGCACCGGGGTGGGAGACGATGCCGCGTCATCAGCACCCGACCCGGCTGAGCGATGTGATCGAGGAGGACGATGAGCGGAGCCGCACCTCTGCCAGCCAGGTCAGCCGAGCCGAGCGTTAGTGGCTTTGACGGATTGTGGGTGACCTGGTGGCGACGGCCCCTTGACGACGATGACGATTCTTGATGATAGGGATCAAGCGGACGGAGACAGAGAGAGAGAGAGCATCAGACTGCATCGGCTAGATTGCGCACACTGAAATTTGGTGTTTTGGGGGCATTCGTGGAAATCTCTTTTTCCATAACCATTGGTGGGAGCAAGCAGCATGGCGAGCGCGAACCCGGCTTTTTTTTTCCCTCTGCTCTCGGCCTCGACACTTTGTTATAATTCACGGCACTGTCGACACACAACACCGTTTCTCGGAAATAATGTAGACGACTCACATATCTTGTCCATACGATACCATGTTTTCGATCGGGACACACTTTTTGTCGACTTCCCCCCCCCCCCTTCTCTATCTCTGGGCCGGGGCAGCAGCGTCTTGAGCGTTATGATGTTGATGCTTTTTGTTGGGGGGAGGGTGAGAGATTAGATACAGTTCAGATGTTTTTGTTCTTTTTTCTCGTTTTCGTTTTGATTTTGTTGGTATTTCAGTCCGGGGGGTTTTTTTTTTTCCAGCAAAGGGATACAGAGACGAACTGGAGTCACTGAGAATGGTGTGTGTTGTGTGTTGTGTTCCGTTTATTTCGGGGTTTGATATTTTGTGTCGGTTTGCATGGGGAAAAACCGGATGATGCATTGGTGAAGATGGGGGGGACATGAACATGTGTGTCTTTTCTGTCGGAGCTGGGGCTTGTTGTGGGATTCCATAATGACGGCATTGAAACGGGGGAAGGGAGGGATTCTAATGTATGAGAGAGAGGGAGAGAGGGAATGAGGGAATGAGGGATCATTTTGGAGCGGTGCTCTGTGGGAAGAGGCTGTGTGTGTGTGAGAGGGTTTTTTAATTCAGAGAAAAGGGGGTTTGTTGTTGTGGGTGTTGACTTGAAACAAAATTGAGAGGGAGAGGGACAGAGAGAGGGAGGGAATGGGATGGAGAAAGTGGAGGAGGGAATCACGGACGGCGTCTTGTATTTCTAGGGTCGGATTATACGGAATAAAGGGAATGTCATTGAATCATGTGGCGTCGTGACTTTGACGGATCTGGATGTGGTGGATGTGGTGACATTGCTGAGTAAACCGGTTACTATGGGTAGTGCACCTCTTCTGTCTTTTGACTCGTTGATGATGGAATGGGACCGGATGGAGACGGCGAGCTTGGGAAGGGTTTCTATTTGCTGGGGCACGAGCGAGCCCCGGGGGCCGGATGCCGCTGAAGACGGCCGCAGCCCGCAGTGAGAGAGAGGGGTGGGGATTGGCAGGCTGTCACGGCCCCCCTTCCCCGCCGTGCCCGCTTAGGGCGATCCGTGGTTGTGGTTGGTTGAACGGGCCCAGGGAAGTTTCCGGATTGACGCGATGACGGGGAACTGAGTGACCTCCCCTAAAGCTTCAACCTTTGAACGCGAAACTGTATGGGCATGGCGCAACTTCGGGACGAGATACGGGAACAATAATTGCAAAGGGAAGGAATAGCGAAGGAGGATATGGCGATGAATCGGTATATTCTTTTTTTTTTTCTTTTATTCTCTCATCCTGTTCTGCTGGCTGGCTGGCTGGCTTCCGTGAGCTCCAATCTGGTTTTGTGAGTTTGGAGGAGCCGGGTGAAGAGAGAGCGCGGGATCTGAGCATACACCAGGACGGGGGGTTCAACAAGATTTATCTAGAGGAATATGCTAATTTAAGAAATTCCTTCCGGCATCCAGCGCCATTTGGGGAGCGAGGAGGGGGTTGCTCGCGCCGAGGAGGTCTTCACCGGCGGCGGTCTACAGAAGGGCTGCTGCTGCTAACTACTCGACATCATCGCCATCACCACCGTCGTCGTCGTCGCCCGCCAGCCAAAGAGTTCCGAGCAAGACTAGCGCACCGGCATTCGCGTTTGCTTTCGAGTATGTACTTTTTTTTTAGGATATGTCATACGGCACGGCGAGGGGGGAACTAAACACACCGACCACTCTATCTAGCATCGACGGCGTCCTGCTCCACGTCGCGGAACCCATCCCGGGCGCCAAGGAGTCCCTCCGGTTCCTGCACGACAACAACATCCCGTTCATCCTGCTGACCAACGGCGGCGGCAAGCGCGAGGCCGACCGGGTCGGATTTCTAGCTGAGAGGCTCGGCGTGCCGCTGAGCACCGACAACTTTGTGCAGTCGCACACGCCGTTCCGACAGCTTGTCGATGGCGGCGAGGACGGCGGCCTGCGGGACAAGACGATCCTCGTGACCGGGTCCGACTACGAGCGCTGCCGGGCGATCGCCAGGGAGTACGGTTTCCGGAACGTCGTGACGCCGGCGGACCTGCTCGCCGCCGAGCCGACCTTGTTTCCGTTCCGCTCGCTGGCCGAGCTCCAGCAGGGTGCGACTCCGCTTCCTAAACCGCTGTATGACGGCTCTAAGTCATCGCTGGAGTTGGAGTCGTCGCTCAAGATCGACGCCATGTTCGTGTTTGACGACCCGCGCGACTGGGCCGTCGACATCCAGATCATCATGGACCTGCTGCTCTCGCACCGGGGCTATCTGGGCACGCTATCTCCCAAAAACGGCGACGCCTCGCTGCCGGGCTGCGGCTGGCAGCAGGACGGCCAGCCGCCGCTGTATTTTAGCAATGGGGATCTCGTCTGGGCGGCCAAGTACCATCTGCCGCGCTTCGGGCAGGGCGCGTTCCAGGCCGCCGTCGCGGGCGTGTGGGATCGGTATACCGGCGGGCATCCGCTGCGGCGTACCGTGATTGGCAAGCCGGCGGGCGAGACGTACCGGTTTGCTGAGCGCGTGCTGACGAGTCATCGGCATGAGACGCTGAGGAGGATGGGGCTGCATGAGCCGCCTGCGCTGAGGAGTGTGTATATGGTGGGGGATAATCCGGAGAGTGATATCGCGGGCGCGAATGGGCATGTGAGTGAGGCCGGGACGCAGTGGGTGAGCGTGCTGGTGAAGACGGGCGTGTGGAATGAGGAGAGGGATCGGGGTGTTTTGGTGGGGAGGAAGAAGCCGGGGGTTATTGTGGACGATGTTCGGGAGGCTGTTAAGTGGGCGTTGTGGAGGGAGCGGTGGGAGGGGTTGTGGAAGGGTGAGTGATTGTTGATCTGTGATGGGAGCTGGACGGGCGGGTAGCGTGTATATATGGATAGACTGTGGGGAGCTGTAACGTGTAGAGCTTTTTCTTAGAATAAATCAAGATTTTAAGGGCTCTGGATTGAGCTGTGAGATTCAGTCAGGGAGGGCGTCATGGTAGAACAGACTCGACATTCTCGGGAGACAATCCGGGAGACAATCCGGGAGACAACATCGACGAAGCTGGATACTCTCATCGAGGAACCGCAATCTCCGAGAGTCAAAGATGCACCTACCATGCCTGAAATGTTGACTGAAAAAAATTCAATGACAGCCCACCAGAGAGTAACATCATCGTCCTTTCCAACGCTAAAGAGAGAAGAACCCTCTCCGAGGTGATTGTGTGGTTGTTAGTTATCAAGTCGCTCTGGTGTGGTGCTCGCAGCATAACTCAAAGTACGTTTATGAGACATAATTCCAGCGCAGAGTTACAACCAAGTCAGCAACAACGCACTGATCGGTCTGGTGGTCTAGTGGTATGATTCTCGCTTAGGGTCCACCCTATAGCATCTGCATGCGAGAGGTCCCGGGTTCAATCCCCGGCCAGACCCAGCTTTTTGCTTTCCTCTCCGTTCGTTTTATGTCATTCGGAGAACAAATCTTTTTTTCCCCATTTCTTTCAACAGTAATGTTTCCTCTTTTTACTCTAGCATTGCTGGCGAGCGTGTGTTAGACACAGGTATGGCGTTTACCACAGTAGCATCGACGGTATCGTTTGCACCTGTGGCTTCGAGGACAGCAGCATGCTTGGGCTTTCTCAGGTCGGACTCCTCCCTTTTGGAGACGGGGTGGCATATAGACTACAGACCGCAGTATCTCGCCCAAGTATTGTCAGTGTCTGTCTAACAAGCCCCCAGGCTATGATATAGCAATGCTATCGAGACTTCGGGTTGGAGTGCAGTTCCGTACAGCGCAAATCCAACATGAGAATAAACAAAACGGGTGAGGGAGAGTGGCAGATAAGGTCCAGGTCCAGTCCAGTTGCCGTGATACGTACCCAGGATCCAATACGAGAAAGGATCAGAGAACACATCTCGACTTCAACATCCTAGCTTAGCTTATCCATCCCGCTCATCATAGATCTACATCATCCTCTCCGGGGGGGGGGGGGGGGGGGGGGGGGGGGGGGGGGGGGGGGGGGGGGGGGGGGG